GTAAGTTTAGAAATCATTAAATCAGCAATTGGAATAAATTTGAGCTAGTTCTGCGATACAATGGGGAATTATTTGTCACGATAAATACTTCAATATATCATATTAAGATGCCACTTCATTATTAATGAACAAGTGATCCTGGCTTAGTTGGCAGCACTCTCACCTCTAAATCAGAAGTTTTTTAAGTTCAAGCTCCAGGTTAGGACAGAGATCATAGTTGAAGCTGACATTCCACTGGCATCGTTGCATATATGGAGGTGACATTCTTTGTATCAGATGGTAAACAGAGATCCCCTCAGCCTGTTCAAGGGAAATAAAAGATCCCTCAGCACTGTTCAAAAAGGGAAAGGGAGCTTCCACAGGTGTCCCAGTCAACAATCTCCTAGATTAAAACAAATGGTCACCTCAAAATCCCATCAACATGGCCAAATTGGCTGTCATGTTTGCCTACACAGTCACTACACTTTACATAAAATGCTGTGAAGGCTTTGAATCACTTTAACATAATAAGTTAATGTACCAAGTACAAGGATTATTATTATTATTGGTTCCTGTGCTTCTAATACATGCGAAGATATTTAAATACCAACATGTTAAACAGAGAGTAAAGGTAAAGAATTTCTTCCTCGGAGCCTTTTATTATTTTACCAAACAGCTTTGGTGAAGTTGTCCAGTAAAATGTTTACACGTACCAACATGCTGTGCTGCAGGGTGGTGGCTGATAAATGAATGCTTGTGCTTCCTTCTACAAAGTAAGCTCCCGATCTCAGCCATGGGTAAACAATTAATGGGAATACTGAGCATTACCCCTTACCCCACAGTGAAATTAATAATAATAAAAATTATAATCCTTGGATTTCATATTACAGCAGCTTGCAATTAAATAGTGTCCCTCACGCAGCGTAGGGTCTCAGAGGTGAGACGTCTCAAAGCACTTCACAGGATATGCTGTAAAGTGGATTGACTGTATTTTGTGGGCGAAAGGTGGTATCCACAGTTGTGGATTGAGTGATCAATATTTTTTAAAAAATTGAAGGAATATCAACAGAGAGCAATCCACCAATCGACTAACAACTGAGATCCTACTTACTGCTAGATAGACTGGGAAACGTCAGTTGTGTTTTTTGTGTTTTCTACCAGTGTCAGCAGAGGCCTGGGAGCAAAATCACCTCCCTCTCTACTCATTTAGGGAGTGGTAAACTGTGTGCGTGTAAAGGTTGGAGGTTCACCCCCAAGAGTTATAGAAAAGAAACATGGATGAGAATGAAAATTGAGGCAGTGGCGGGGGATAGAGAGGATGGGTGCGATGTCTTGTATTGGAGCCTCAATGTGCTATCCCACGCAGTATTGAGACATCACCTCTGAGTCATTATCTTATCTCCAAATCTGAACCACATCGCTGCAGAGCAGCACCAATCAAGATCCAGGTATTTCCCCACAGAGTCTTCAGGTAAAGTCACTCTTCATTGTAAATTGGTCAAATGATTTGACTGTTGTGGGACGCTGCTGTGTGAACCTGTCTCCCACTGCTATCTCACCACCATTATAACCCGCATGAAACTGACCACCTGCTCCCACGACCTCATCCCTACACTTCTCCTTACCTCCCAGCTCCACCTCCTTGCCCCTCTACTCACAGACATCATAAACCTCTCCCTGCCCACTGGTCCCATTCCCACCCCTTTAAAAATGGCCATCAATACTCCTATCCTCAAAAACCCTCCCTGGACCCAATCCTGCTCTCAAAATACCACCCCATCTCCAACATCCCTTTCTTCTCCAAAGTCCTGGAACGAGCCATTGTTTCTCAGCTTCACTCCTTCCTCTCCCGCCACTCCCTTCACGAACCCTCCAATTGGGTCTCGGTGTCGTCCACAGCACAAAACTGCTCTGGTCAAAATGACAATGTCATCTGTCTACCTGAGACCAGGGCTCCCTTTGCCTCCTCGTCCTCCATGATTTCTCTGCTGCCTTTGACTCCGTTTGACCACTCTATCCTCATCCATCGCTTCTCCTCTTCTCTCACCCTCATGGTACTGCCCTTGAATGGTTCAGAGCGTACCTCTCAACCGCCTCCATTTTATCTCCACAAACAGTTTCTCCTCGAGCCCCTGCACCATCTTGTGCGGTGTTCCTCAGGGCTCTGTCCTTGATCCCCTCCTCTTCAATATCTATATCCTCCCTCTTGGTGGCATTATCAACAGACATAAAGTCAATTTCCACATGCATGCGGATGACACCCAACTGAAACCTCTCTGCCTCCACCTTTGACTCCAGGACCACTGGTGTCCTGACAGAATGTCTGTCAGACATCAAGTCCTGGATGAGAGCTAACTTTCTTCAATTGAATGTCAACAAGACCGAGGCCCTCCTCATCTCAGGCACTGACAGCATCACCATCCATGGATGCACATTCCACCTTACTAAGCCAGTCCGGAACCTTGGGGTCTTGTTTGACCTCAACTATCCTTCCTACCCCACATCCGTGCTATGATCCGCTCTGCCTCCCTCACCTCTGCAAAATTGTTCGGTTCCGCCACTGTCTCACCCGCAGGCCACCGAAACCTCATACATGAATTCATAACATCCAGGCTTGACTATGCAAACTCATTGCTTGTCGGCCTCCTCAACTCCTCCCTCCATAGGCTGCATAGATCATTCGGAACTCTGCAGCTCGTGTCCTCTCCCGCACCAGGCTCCGTGACCTATCACCCCTATCCTCACCCCGACTCCACTGACTTCCCATCACACAGATACAGTTCAAGATCCTGGTCCTCACTTCAAAGCCCTCCATGGCCTCTCTCCCCCCTACATCTGTGACCTTCTAACCCCCTTACCATCTTGCCCGCGCTCTTCGGCCTGCTTCACGTCCCCCCTGTCTGCCCCACCATTCGTGGGCAGGCCTTCTGCCACTCTGCACCCACCCTCTGGAACTCCATCCCGTAGTCTGTCCACCTCACCCCTCTCGTCTCCTTCAAGACCCATCTCAAGACCCTTCTCGTCGACCGTGCTTTCACCCTTCTTCCCCTGTTGCCCTCCACCCTACCCAATCCCGACCCCCAGCTCGGGTCTGCAACACTGACTGTCCAGTGCCTTAGGACATCTCCCGACGTGAAAGATGCTATACAAATGTAATTTTGTTGTTGTATGCGGTCTGTATAAATAAGTCCGTACTAGTGAATACAGTGCAATATTTCCAATATCAGAGTTCAATAGGGGCAATTTAATGTGAAAATTTGGCAGCTTTAACTACATTTCTGAATGTGTGATGTCTAGATTACAATTGAATTCACCTTTTACCAACCTCAAATTCCCATTTCAAACTTTAGCTCAGCAATGCATGAAAATGTACAGTACTTTAAAGAGGAATTCATGAAATAGTTGGCCACTTGAAATATACAGTCAATTCACTTCACAGTATATTCTGTGAAGCACTTTGAGATGTCTCAACAACATGATAAGGCGCTATATCAAATGCAAGGATTATTATTACTGATGGCAATTTTGGATTAAATAGCAAACATTTTGCACTTGAAATGAAATCTAATTTTCCAGATCAATGTGCCTCTTGTGTTACTAAGATGATAAACGGCAAGGGAAAAGGTTTCTGGTAATGGTCTCCTCACTTATGAACAGGCAGACGGATCTTAACATCTCAAACAAACCTAACAATGTGCATACTTGACACAGATCAAGTAATGGGACTAGTTAGAAACAAGAGGGCAATAAATATCTAGCAATTAAGAGCATTAATATTCCAGCCATCCATGCTGTATTTACAGTCAGCTATAGAAAAGCTATAAAATGTGATACATCCATGAATCATGCGAGCTTAGAATTTTTAAGTTAACATAGTTGGTAAAAGTGGATTTGAAGCTCAGAGCTTCCACAATAAAATAACTTGTGAATGTAACACCTGGCACTCGTGCCTCTGAGTCAGAACATTGCAGATTCAACTCACTTTGTTGCTGACAATCCAGTGCAATGCTGGGGGAGCGCTACATTGTAAGGGTTGCCGTCTTCAGATAAATCATTCATTTGAGATAATATCTGCCTGTTCATTTGGACATTAAAGATCCCATGGTACTATTCAAAAGAGAAGGGAGATTCATGGCCAACAATCTCCACAAAAAATTAATTATTCGCTTCATGGGTATTCGTAAGACAGAGTCGTGTGCAGATTGGCTGCCGCAAAAGCTAACAACTACAATCACTACACTTTTAGACATTTTAACAAGGACCTACTATATCAAATGCAAGGTTTATTATTTCATTTATTATTATCGTTGAATTCTTAATCTGTACCCCAAGTAGAAAAAGCAACAACAACAACAAAATTACATTTATAGAGCTTCTTTCACGTTGGGAGGACGTCCCAAAGCGCTGAACAGTCAGATGTCGGGGCCGAGCATGGGAAGGGGTGGTATAGGGGTGAGGGAAGGCAGAGAGATGGGAGGGAAACCAAAGGCACAATCAAAGAAAAGGGTCTTGAGACCGGCCTTGAAGGATGCAAGGGAGGAAGCGAGGCGAAGAGACCGTGGGATGGAGTTCCAGAGTGTGGGGCAGAGTAAGCTGAAAGCCCGGTCACCAATGGTAGGGCGGGTCGGGCGGGAGACATGGAGCAGGCCGGAGCCTGATGAGTGGAGGAACGGGCAGGTTGGTAGGGAGTCAGCAGGTCAGAGAGGTAGGAGGGGGCAAGGCCATGGATGGACTTAAAGGTGAGGACAAGGATCGTGAACTCGATCCTCTGGGGGATGGGGAGCCAGTGGAGTGGAGTGAGGGTGGGAGTGATGGGTTCGCGGAGCCTGGTGTGCGAGAGTACACGAGTTGCAGAGTTTTGGATGATCTACAGCTTGTGAAGGGAAGAGTTGGGAAGGCCGATGAGGAGGGAGTTTCTGTAATCGAGCCTTGATGTGATGAATACGTGGGTGAGGGTTTCGGCAGCCTGAGGGGTGAGGCAGTGGCGGAGTCTGGTAATGTTGAGGAGGTGGTGCTGGTCATGGTGCAGGTGTGGGGGAGAAAGGACAGTTCAGGGTCAAGCAAGACACCCAGGATCCTGACTGGGTTAGTGAGGTTGAGTGTGCAGCCATGGAGGCTGATGCTGTGTAGACACTGTGTAGACACTGTGTGGCATTGCTGTTCAATATTCCAAAATAAGAACAATAAGGATTAAAATCATTCTATTTGGTTTATATACTCAGATTTAAACTTTGTTTTAAAACTCTGCAGGCACAGTTCCTGTAGAAGTGTGGGATTTGTAGGTATGTCACTGCTGATTATACTACTGTTAATGTGGTTCAACTGTCTAGAAAAGGATATATAAACAAATGTAGCCAAGTAGCTTTGCAAAATTCACAAAAAAAAAATTGTATTCAGAATTTCTATTCCGTTACAAAACTTTTTCTCTTTCACTGGTTTTATCCTCAAAATCTCAGCAAAGGCATCTCCGAACCAGCATGTGATATGGGCAGAGTCCAAGGTGAAGTAAAAGAGTTGATCCTGGCACTGTTTTCTACGGTACACAGAGCGTGGATCAGCTGACAGTACTGCCATGATGGCAGATCTTGCTTCCTCTATAGATTGGAAATGTTTCAATGACGTTTTAACCGGGATCTACAAACAGCCACAGAGATGGTTAAATCTTAGCATTTAAATCTAATAAACACATTAAACAGATACTAGATTATATAACATTATAAAGCACAGCATAACATCACCTGAAAAATGGGGTTTCCAATATAAATATAATATAAATATAAATATAAATATAAAGGAAACCTGGTGCTTAAAATTCCAACTAAGTTCAGCCTATCAGACCATTTTGGTTTAAAATTGAAGATTTCACAATGCTGTGGAAAATTCTTAAATTTAGTTGGTAGCTGGGATTCTTTGCACATGGCTCCTGTTAGTTAATCGCTCAAGCCAAAGCCCTAACACTGGTGCAAGCAGCAGTAAGCTTGCCAATGATTGCAACGTCAAGCCAGTTTTGTTTGGTTAAACACCAATAATACCTTAATGCTCCTTCTTAAAAAGAATCAAATCCAAACTGAGAATGAATTGAAAAATTTCCACATTTTCTGCGCGACCTGAGCTATTAAGATAAGGCAGGCCTAGAGGTTCAAATCTAGGTAGAATTTTCAGGCCCCTGGACACTGACTGGAAGCAAATAATGACCAGGTTATTAGTGTGGTGGAGTCCTGTAGCTCAGTGGTTAGAGCACTCACTTTGCAAGCAAGAGACCTGGGTTCGATTCCCAGCAGGGTGAAACCTTGGGCAAGTTTCCTTACTCCACACGCCTGATAATAATCCCTCCAAATACAAAACAATAATAAATTGGTCATTTCAATCCATGACCGTTTGTGGGACTCTGCTGTGAGCAATTGGCTGCCGTATTTCGCCCACAGATATACAATCAATTCACTTTACAGTCTATTCTGTGAAGCGCTTTGAGACGTCTAGAAGACGTGAAAAGCGCTACATCAAATACAAGGTTTATATTATTATTAATAATAGAATAATAGTGTACCACTGTACCTGCTTTGTCAGGAGCCTGGAACTGCTCCAGATCCTTTTCAGCATAAGGGGTGAATCGAACGTCTAATGAAGACACGGGAGATTCCTTTACCCATGCTGCGACAGTACTGATACACGGCTCATTACCCAAGTCCTGACCAGCAGAACTCGATGTCTTGGGCTGGTGCTGATACTGATGGTACATGGTAGTGCCTGCATCCTTCAACTCCATGCTGATAACTTTGCCTCTGTCAGTGGATTCGGTCGCAATATCACTGTGGATTAGCTGGTGCCTGATCTTCTCCACAGTTAGGAAGAAGCTTTGGTCAACACCTGCCTCCTTTGTAGCAGCAAACTGATTATCTTTCTCACACTTTAGCTCACATCCTAAAGGGATCTCTTCAACTTTGGTGAGGTGTTGATCTTCTCCATGAAGAACTTCACCGCTTCTGTTTGTTATTGAGTGTGTCCCATATATAGGAGGGTTTGGGCCCAATTCAGCAAAACATCCACCTCCAACCTCTGAAGTCCCGTTGGTGTCCACCTGCCCCTCATCAATATATTCTCCAGTTACTGGATTTGTAACAGTTTGGAACTGCTCATCTAGCACGATATCTTTATTGAACTGACTGTCTTTTCCATCACTGGAGGCATCACATCTAGGTGTATCATAGTCTGGAATATATGGCTTAATGTCCAAGACTGGTGTCCCTTCTATCATGTCGATTCCCGAAAGACAAACTGTGTCACCTTAAAGAGTAAAGGGAAAAATAGACACAAAAATATATATGCATACACAACAACAACTCGCATTTTTATAATGCCTTTTACTTACAGCATCATCTTTTGTAGCATCAGATCGTACCTGAAGACTTAATCTTTGACCTCTTTGGCCTACGGTCATCTCCCATCACTCTCTGGCTCGCGTAAAGCTCTGCCACTGTTAAGTGCTGCGAGATGCTACCTCGTGTGAAGGGCATTATGCAAACGCAAGTTGTTATTGCTGTTGAAGTGCTTTACTGAGACAGTGGCAGACTTCGAGCAGGGTGGGTAGGGGAGAAGAGAGGTGATCACAGATTTTGTTTAAGTGGTAAGTTTTGAGGAAGGCTTTAAGGACAGGCAGAGAGGGAGCAATGTGGATGGATTTCGAGAGAGTTCCAGAAAGTACAGGGCATGGTAGCTGAAGATTTAACCATTGATAAATATATAGTATAATATACTAATTTGCTGGGGGCAAAGAGGTTGAAAGCTCACCTGCTGATAGCGAAGCAGAGGAGCAGGAAATGCGAAGCAGAGTTGGCTCAGCAGTGGGAGTAGCTGGGGGAGTAGGGTTGCAGGGTAAATTGAGGCAAGGCCACAGAGGCATTTGAAGGTGAGGTTGAGGATCTTGATATTAATCCTTTGGGGAATAGGGAGCAAGGATGATGGTCTCATGGAGCCTAGTATAGGAGAGAATGTGATGATTTTGTACTCTCGGAGAGTGGAGTTGGGGAGGCCAGCGAGCACAGAATTGAAAAGTTGAGTCAAGAATACGGCAACAAAGAACTGCCCGAGGATGGTCATAGGTACATGACAGAAAAGCCATTAAAGGAGATGGAGTGACAACGCTGAGACTAGATTATGAGCTCACGTCCTGGTATGGGATATGACAGAGATGAGAATGCTTCCAGTTTAGCAAGATGGACACTTTGTTTTAAGTTAGCGACTTTTAAAAAAAACAAAGTGCTTTTAAATTAGTGAAATCTTGATCATCTCCCCAACCACACAAATCAAAGTTCCAGTGCAAAATGATGGAAGTAAGCTAAGAGGAAAGTAAATGCAAAAACTAAGCCAATGTTCAGTTACCTTTAAATTCATTTAAAATAACATCTATTTTGATGATAAAGGATTCTGCTTTGTGCTTGAAAATATTGCCAAGTTAGAGGACCAAAGAAGAATGAAGGTAATTACCAAATTATGCAGTACCAAAGATATATTGAAAAATGTGACTTGATTTGGAAATAGGTTATGGGCCCCCTCAC